CCAAACCTCCCATGAAAATAGTCGACCTATTGTTGAGCCGCATCCATACTCTTCAAGGCGTCTGATATCCATCCAGTCGTCTCCCTACCAAGCCTAAGCCTGGCAGTATCGGCAGCAAGCTCTGAGAATCGTCTCTTCCAAAACTCCCATCGCTCCATGCTGACCAGCTGGTTACCCTCGCCGAGTGGGCCATCGCAGATCGCCCTAGCACTGTCATCGTCAAGTTCCATATCTAAGTTCATTCGCTTAAAGACGTTATCTGCGCAATGGATCATCCATTCGCACGCTGTCCAAATACGGCATTCCATGGCGGAACCTTCCAATGGCTGTTCTTCGAGCGTGGTCCTAAGCTGCCAGATGGGGAAATGAACCGACATGGGGACGCCAGCCCCCATTAATCGAGCGTAGAAAGAGGTCCTACCCTTGTGCCCGGCAAATTCTTCGATCAGCTCCTCATTCATATCAGTCGGATCTAGAGATACATTAGCCCAGGTCCTAAAGTTATAGACAGACGCATGTGAGAATTCCGGGTCCATACCGTCCAATTTCTCCCTTAGGGTGATCCACAGATCGGGAAGTTCTTTCCATGAAATTGGCTGTGAATGAAGATCTTCTCAGCTTCATATCGACCACAGGATCTTGGGTTGCTTACCTTCCCCATCTTATTATATCTAGAGGTCCCATCGTCACGGTTGAGGAGGATAACCACGGCCAGAACCAGACTGTCTTGCCACGGGTGGCCGGGCGGAACACAAATGACGATATCGATGACCAACATCCAGACATACCAGAGGACCCCACAAACCTCACTACCTGCACAGAAGAAGTCGATGTCATCGGCAAGTTTTACGCTCTTCACTTGCGGATCTATGGGGTACTGAAGAGTGGCCTTGAGGACGTAGAAAGCATCTCGTTCGTACTCAGCGATGTTGTTTACAACAGATTGAAGTCTAACGTCCATTTTCTTTTAAGGCAATAGAATGTGAATGGTTGATGGTTGATGTGATAGTCAATGGTTGGATAATGGTTGAAGGCGCTAAAATATGTACGGAAGGAGTCGGACCTAAATGGTCGAAGTCGAATGTGAGGTAACAACCAATAGTATTACGGGGCCGTGGAGGGCTCAAGGAGGGTAGGTGGCTTGACAGTTGCTTTGTAGCCCATTTGATGGGCTGCACGTAAATGAAAATCTGGCCTCCGTATTAGCGGAATGTATTTGTACTATTTCGTTATTGGCACCCCTATTCGAGTCTTAGTACAAAGAGGATTTGACCAAAGTTACCCTAAGGCGGAATGCATTTTTTCCCCTCTGCTAGTCCTACTACAAAGAGGATCTGACCAAATTTGCCCCGAGGCGGAATGTATTCGTACTATTACGTATTCCGCTGCAGTAAAGAGTACAGTTGTTACGGTAGCTTACAAGGGTGCTTGCAGGCCCATTCTAAAGAAATTTAGTGCCAGCCACATAGCTCCAACGAAAGTACACAACACAGAATCCGATCAATCCCATTTCTGCTAGGCTTCCGCGGCATAACAACGTGAATGTGTCAGTTTAAATAAGTCGTTAACATTATAGAAATTCCTAAATTGGTTTTATACATAACTCACTATCTTGGTTGGCTGAACCTCCGCCATCATACGAACCCGCTGCGCTTTGATTTCCATCGTTGACGTCTTGGCCGGCTTCTTCGCTTTCCTCTATTCAGGAAGACTGCGCGAGGAGCGGCAAAGCATCTTCGGATGCACCCTGACCTAACATTCTTTCCTCAACATTTTTTAGGTTTACAAGGTGATTTGATATCTAGTACAGAAGGTATTAGACGTACTGAGATTGAAACTGCAAAAGAAGAAGTGGAGGAAACAAATGCTGAATTAGGTTTAGCAATAGAAGAATCTGATGAAGCTTTAGAACAATACGGTAAAGACAGCCCTGAGTACGTAGAAAAAGAAGGACGGGTACAAGATTTATCTGATAGACTAAATGAACAACAAGATTATGTACACAGATTAGAAGAGGAAGCCTCAGCTGAAACCGAAGCTATGATAGAGGAAGGTGATGAGACAAATCAAGATAATAATACAGGAGAATAAAGAAAAATGATAAAATATATAATAAATAATATAAAAAAATTTTTTAAAGATTCTGCTATTTATTCTAAAATTCTAAGGGTTCTTTATTTTTCATGGAATTACTTCTTATCTTTGCTTAAAATTACTCCTACTTATTTTCTAATTCTCAGATTTATATGAAATTACGTAGAAGATTACATACTTATGAATTATAACTTTACAAATAATCTATATACAATTTTTTCTTATTTTTTGATTAATTATATAAATATTAATATTTTGTTTGTTTTTAAATTTATTCTTTTTGTAGAAATTTTTAAACGCTTGGACAAATTTAAAGCTTTTATAGTAAAAAAGGTAAAAATTTGGAATGAATATAATGTAAGTATTAAACCAACTAGGGCTCTATATAAAAGAATTAGAATTGATATAAAAGATCCGATATTATCGAGGTCAAATGTCTCTAAAGAATTAAAAGAAAGGTGAAAAAAAAAGTTAAATGAGCTAAAAAAACTTGACGAGTTACTCAATAAATGCGAGGATGATTATCTTAAAGCTCAAAAAACTATAGAATATTTGCAAGTTCTTTCTGAGCTTAATATTATAAATCTTGAGGCTGAAATAGAAAAACAAGAAAGAGAAAAAGAAAAAAAATAGTTTATAGTTATAAGTATGTTGGAGTTTTTTTTAGTATAAAAACTCTATTAAGTCAAATCTAACCTAATTAAACTATGTATTAAATGAAGCATAAAAGGTTTAATATACGGTTATTCTAATATATATTGTATATTATTATACCTTTAAAGGTATAATCATTGTTACTATGTTTGTAGGCATAGTAGGGTGTTTGATTCTTTTATTATTTAATCTAATGAGTTATTTATATGTTTTTTGGCATATAAGTAGACTTATCCCTTATAAATGGAAATATAGGAGAAAGCATAAATAAAACTTATGTTAAAGCCCTCATAAAAAAATTAGCTTAATAACTAATTTTTCTTAATAAAATTTAAAACAAAAAGATAATGAGTTTTTTATTCTTCAAGATAAAATAATAAGTCTTTTTTATTCAAGATAAAAGAATGAGTTTTTTATTCTTCAAGATAAAATAATGAGTGAGTCTTTTTTATTCAAGATAAAATAATAAGTTTTTTATTCTTAAATTCGGTCTATTCATCTAATTTATTGTAAAAAACAATACGTGTATATTAGTAAACATATAAACATATATACATATATACATTTATACATTTTTTTTAGTTATAAGATTAATTTAAATTAATTTTATTAAGTTATCCTATTTATACTGTTTGATAACCATACTTTATATTTATTTACATTTATAGTCTTATTATATTTAAACAAATCCACAACACAGTTTAAGTTATAATTTAATAAATAAAATTATTCTTATAACTAAACAACTTTACACATAAATAAGACAAAACTAAGCTGATAAGTAACATTATTGTAAGGCTAAAGTTAATTGCTTTGACCCGCGTTGCCTGTATACCTCCCCCAAAACTTTAATCTTTTAAATCCTAATATAAATAAGACATATGGTCAACAGTCGGAGGAGACTTATTGATTGTTAAGCTTTGTAAATAAGCATAGTTTTTTTGCTTGAATAGAAATATGACTTTTGTCAAAAAAAGTAAAAAATAAAGGTACATTATACTTAATTTTTGCTTTATTTTCCGGACTATTGAGTACGGCTTTCTCTGTACTTATACGGTTAGAACTAGGTGTACCTGGTCCTCAGGGTTTTGTAACTTTACCTTTACAAAGTAAAATAAGTATAAGTAGTTTTACTAAACATTTAACTTTAGCTAATGTTATTACAGGTTTACTTATTTTTATTGCTTTTTTCATACTTAGAAATTATATTTTTCCTAATGTTTATTATTCTGTTAAAGTAACATTTTTATCTGAAAATCCCATAGAATTACAACTTAATAAAGATTTTTTTTTAGGGTTTTTAGCTGTAATTAGTCGATTTTCTTTAAAAGGGTTTATCGAAGATTTTATTGCGAGCTATTTAAACCAAAAATTGCTTATTACCGAGGCAGAACTATTACCCTTTTTGTATCAAGACAGCAACAGCAACAGTAACAGTAACCCCTCGAAGGGGGGGGGAAGTTCAAAATCAAATTCAGAATTACTTGCTCAGAGTAAAAGAGGACAAAAAGTAATTGATGGTATATATGCTGAGACAATTATGGTAGAATTTGAGAAATTTAATGTCGATATGGCAAAAATAGCTAAAAGGCTAAAAAACCGACATGATATGTTTAATAATGGTAATTTAAGTATGGATAATTTGGAAGTTCCAAATATCTTAAGAATGATGCTTCAAGATCAAACTCAGTACTTAAATTCTTCTATTTTAAAAAGGATCGATTGAGTAAATGTTACTCGTTCTAATCTACCTTTAGAGGTTAAAGCTGAATTAGCTGCAATTGTAGATAATATTTTGTCTTTAAAAGAAAAGCATACTGATAATATAATGACTATAGTTAGTATAGAGGATGAAAAACAACAGGTTAAAGTATATTTTGATATTTTTAATAGTTATCGTAATAATGTTAAGAAAGAAATTAGTAAACTTGAAACTGTATCACGAGATGGATTTAAAAAATATATACCTGATCTTTATAAACGAAAAGAATTTAAACAAATAATAAATGTAGATGCCCCTAAAACCATAAAAGAAGTTGTTGACCAAGATGGATATTTAAAAAGTAAAATTTCAGAAATAATAAATGCTAAAAAGAAATAAATTGAAAGCATTTTAAACTTAAATTTTTATAAATATTTACTCGGATTAACTGTGATATTTATGTTAAAAGTTTGCTATATAATATTATTTATTTTTTACGGATACGGAATATTAATATAGGTATATCACCTATCAAAGATAGGTGATATACAAGGAATTAGCTTAATGGTAAAGCAAATTTTTCTTAATAACATTTTAGAAAAAAAAGACAAAAGTTCGAATCATTTATTCTTTAACACCATAGCATCTTTTTTTGTTTAAATATTTTTTATAAAAAATATAACTATGTTATATTTTTTTTTTATAACTACTTACTTTATTTTCTAGCAGTTTTATTAGTATTGCCTGTTTGCCTCCCTTTTTTTTTCCCTCAAAAATGCCGCTTTTAGCTTTTAAATTCTAATATATATAAGACACGGATCATCATCATCAGTAGGAGGAGACTCACTGATCGTTAAGCTTTGTAAAAAAAAATACAGTATTTTTGTATGGGCAGAGCGATGATTCCTCTGTAAATACTAAAGATATAGATACATTATACTTAAATTTTACTTTAGGGTTATTAATAATAAATTTATTACTTTTATTTATAAATATATTTTCTAAGTTAATTAGTAGATATACAATAGTCTACTTTTACTCTTTAATATTTAAAACAGAACATTTTTAAAAATAAACCATTAACTTATCTATATAATTACTATTCTAAAAGATAAATCATATTTTGTTTATTAATAAACTAATATAAAAATGGTGGGTATTTAGTTAAAACACCCATGAAAGGAGAAGCACTTTAGAGTTTAAAGCCTTTGCATAGACTAAAAACATACTAAATAGAATATTTAGTTAAAACACGATAATTAAAAAACAAACAAATATACAATGAATTTAACCTTAATACTTTTTTTAATCGGAATTTTAGGTTTCGTTTTAAATAGAAAAAATATAATATTATGCTTATTTCAATAGAAATAATGTTGTTAGCTATTACATTCTTAATATTGATAAGTTCACTTAGCTTTGATGATATATTAGGCCAAACATTTGCTATATATGTTATAGCAATTGCTGGTGCAGAATCAGCCATAGGTTTAGGTATTCTAGTTGCTTTTTACAGATTAAGAGGAAGTATTACAATAGAATATAAATAATGTATTTAGCTATAATTACTTTACCTTTATTAGGATCAATAGTTTCCGGCTTTTTTGGTAGAAAAGTTGGTGTTAGCGGAGCACAATTAATTACATGTACAAGTGTAATTGTCACAACCTTGTTAGCAATCGTTGCCTTTTTTGAAGTAGGTTTAAATAACATACCTGTTTCAATAAATCTATTTAGATGAATAGATAGTGAATCTTTAAACGTTTTATGAAGTTTTCATTTTGATAGTTTAACAGTTTCTATGCTTATACCTGTTTTAATAGTTAGTTCCTTAGTACACATATATTCTATAGGATATATGAGCCACGACCCTCATAATCAAAGGTTTTTTAGTTATTTAAGTTTATTCACATTTATGATGATTATACTTGTTACAGCTAATAATTTTTTATTGATGTTTGTAGGGTGAGAAGGTGTAGGTATTTGTTCGTATTTACTAGTAAGTTTTTGGTTTACTAGAATAGCAGCAAATCAAAGTTCTATGTCTGCTTTCTTAACAAACAGAGTAGGTGATTGTTTCTTAACAATAGGTATGTTTGCTATACTGTGATCATTTGGTAACATTGATTATAGTACTGTCTTTTCATTGGCACCTTTTGTTAATGAAAATATTGTGACAATTATAGGTATATGTTTATTAATAGGTGCAATGGCTAAAAGTTCTCAAGTTGGTCTTCACGTTTGATTGCCGATGGCAATGGAGGGTCCCACACCTGTTTCTGCATTAATTCACGCTGCCACAATGGTTACAGCAGGTGTGTATTTATTAATGCGTACAAGTCCCTTAATAGAATACAGTTCAACTGTATTAATACTATGTTTATGACTAGGTGCAATAACTACTGTATTTAGTAGTCTTATTGGTCTATTTCAACAAGATATTAAAAAAGTTATCGCCTACTCCACTATGAGTCAATTGGCTCGAGAATGTATTAATATTAATAATATTGATATGTTCAGGCATCAAACTATATGCGTAGAGGTTATTTATATAATTAATTCGCAGATAACCAAAGCTCTTAATTATTTATATAATTATATTAGTATTAGCTTTTTTAATTCATTTTTCGCTTTTTTTACATATATGTCTAAAATGCGGCAGTACTGTTATAGATTAAAATCTATATTTATGTCAGAAAAATGAAAAGTTAATATTATAAGCAAGTTAGTAGGAATCTCAGAGGCCATACGTTTGATATTAATCTATTTTAAACTAAAAATTTTTAGTTTAATAATTATTACATTTGTGTTAGGTATATGTTTTTTTTTTTTTATTGATTTGTTTTTGGCTTGTATTTTGGTCGTTGGCTTTTTT